AGCAGTGGTTCTCAACCTTCCTGATGCCGCGACCCTTTAATACAGTTCCTCATGTTGTGGTGACCCCCAACCATAACATTATTTTTGTTGCTACTTCATAACTGTAATTTTGCTACTGTTATGAATCGTAATGTAAATATCTGATATGCAGGATGTATTTTCATTGTTACAAATTGAACATAATTAAAGCATAGTGATTAATCACAAAAACAATATGTAATTATATATGTGTTTTCCGATGGTCTTAGGCGACCCTTGTGAAAGGGTCATTCGACCCCCAAAGGGGTCGCGACCCACAGGTTGAGAACCGCTGATTTAAGGTTAAGAAAAACATTAGTATGCAAAAATTGAATATATATTTTATCTAAACTATGTAAAACATAGAAGAAAAAATGAAAAAACTGTCAAAATGCTACTAAAGTTGGTCATTTTCTTCATCTCTACACTCTTTATCCTGATTTTTATAATCAGAAAACACACAAGGAAACAAATATGTTACTTAAAAATGCAATTCAGGCCTGTTTCCTTATATACATGGAATTTGGTTCCATCTCTAAAAATGAAGTTGAAGACATAATTACAAACTCACAAAGCCTGAAGGACGAATTTTCCATAGGCAGAAATTTAAGGGTGTATTCTCTGAGTGCATAAGTCTTTAGCCATTGTGTTACATACTTATGGTTTTAATTTTTTCAGCATTATTTCTAATATTTCCCCATTGCTTATTTCCACATTAATAGCACAACATGCCATGGCAGTTGTTTGGCTTTAGTTAGAGTTTTGTTCATTCACTTCCAAGCCAAAGTAATTGATTTTGAGACATGTTTTTAGCACTGCTTTTTAGCACCCCTATTTAATGAATGGTTGCATTACATTCTTATAGAATATAAAAATATTTTAAATTATAAGTGGGTGGCTAAATAACAGCAGAATAGTAACTGAGGTTATCTTGCATATAAACAAGTATCTATATATATAAAAGCCTAAGTGACTGGCCTACCGACCGGCCGGTAGGTATGACACACACTGACCACAAGGAGTCAGATGCTTAACACAGGAGCGGAAACCACAGGCATGGAAACTTGGTACAGATTGATGAATCTCAGAGGGAAGAA